AAAGGTAGAAACAACCCAGGTGTTCATCAACAGATTAATGGATAAACAAAATGTGGTACATACAATGAAATATTACTCTGCTATGAAGAGAAATGAAGTCCTGATACATGCTATGATGTGGATGAACTTTGATAACATTATGCTGAGTGAAATAAGTTGGACACAAAAGGATTAATATTGTATGAATATCTGTAATACTTATATGAAATATGTAACTGGGCAAATGCATAGAGACAAAAGTTTATTAGTGGTTACCAGGAGTTGGGGAGAAAAGGGAATGGAAAGGGGGACCGAGTTTCTGTTTGGTGTGTTGTAAAACTTTTGGAAATGGATAGTGGTGATGCTAGCACAACATGGTGAATATAGTAAATGTCACTAAATTATACACTTAAAAATGGTTAAAACAACAAACTGTTTGTTATAGATATTTTACCACAAAAAATTTAAAGTACAAAATAAAACAAAAATCATTGTATCATGTTAAGCTCCTTGAAAAAGGCACCATATTGTTTTTTGGTCTCTCCAGTGTCTAGCATATTGCCTAGGTGCTAAGTCCTCTGTAATTCTTTGCTATATGAATGCATGAACCTTAGTGCTTCTCTTTTTGCTTCCGTCTACTTCTGTGGAGATATGGAATGACAGTGTCTTTGCTTAACACTATAATCATACTCAAAAAATGACTTGTGTATCTAGCTCGAGTTAAATGTAAATAACATGTTAACAGACTGACAATATTGGCCCTCAGTCCAGTGAAGTCTACTACATGAAGGAAGGACATACTTACAGATAATTTTTGGAGCCTTAAGATCAGCACTGAGAACAGACTTTGGTTTGCAGCAAACTGAGATGTTATAGTACCATGGAAACTTAAAAAGACTGTCAACCTATTTCCATTTTGCTCCTTCACAGTGAGTGTTCTCTATGAGAAAATTAGTATTATGGGTTTTGTAACTGGGTATGTAAGATTAAAAAAGAAAAATATTGTTATTTTTTTCAAAGAAATTCTACTTAAAGGTTCTTCTAACTTTTAAAAGATCAACCTTATTGAACTCTAGATAAACAACTATAATAATGGCTTTGTTAATTTATTTCAATAGAAGAGTTTCAGAAATAAAATCTGGATGTAGTAGTATAATCAAAAGAATACTTACACTCTCACTCTGAAAAGGATTTAAGAAATTTCCCCCCATTTCGCCATCATCCCTTGGAGTGCCCGGTTGATTACTCAGGCTCATATTATTGGGAGAATTCTGTAAACAAGATTTAGAAAACGAGGCATTGGTGAAGATTTTAATTTCCCTCTTGCATTGTACTGTTTCAAAATGAAATCTATAGCAGTATCTCTAAGAGCAAAAGAGACTTATAATTTTAATCTTAGATTTCTGCCATATATTCTAGTTCATTCTTTGCACCTTGACAAGTACTAATGCTTTCCCAAATGAAAATAAACAAAAACCAAAATAACCCATCACTTTTTTTTTTCTTGGTCTCAGAATCAATATTTATTCAATTTCCCATCCTCAGCTTATAGAGTTCCTAAAGCTCTGGAGAGTTTAAACCACATTCCCAGGAGGGGCATGACAAAGAGCACCTACCCGTTGATAAGGCATGGTAGGACAATCACTTCCCTTGGTAATTTTATTAATCCAATTTTAAAAGGTCGCTGTTTAAATAAACATTTGCTTTTAATTCTACACGCATTTCAAATAATAACACTATTTTAACTATTTTTTTTTATGTTAATCATAAAGAAAAAAGAAAGATAGCTAACCAATGCAGTTAAGAACAAGACAAACACCTTAGGACTTGAAAATTCAATATATACTTTTACAGAAAAAGAAGGCTCAAAAGTAAACTGCTTTAGAATCTTTTCCTATCATTACTTTAAGAGTAGATTTACTTTGGAACTTTTCTATAACATGGCTAACATCAGCAATTCAATCAAACACTAAGATAGCAGTAGCATGCTTCATGTGCTATTTAAATCTGCTAGTCTCATTATTAACTGTGCAATTTTAGCCATGTGAGGACATGTGATAATCCCACATCAATAGGAAATACAGAATGTCATTGACATATAAAATATGTTTATACAATATTACAGCTGTGACTGAGGGGAGTCTTTCAAGGTCCAATTTATGGACTTGCAAAAAAAACTTCAGGGTTAAAATTTTTTATCATCTCAAATGGAAGAAAGCTTTTAGAATTTTTCCCTAAGCCATTGCCACTTCATATTCTGTTCTGGGGTAAGTTTTTAGATGTTTTAAGAAAATTGCTCAGAAGGTTCTGACTTAACTAAAAACAAGTTATGTCATAAACATTAAAATTTTATGAACGAGCTATTCCCAAAAGAATGTGTGCTTTTCCAAAATATGGTCAAACTGTAAAGGAGAGGCAGGTAGATGAGCTGGTGGAGATACAGCTTGTATCTCATTGTGCTTGCGCACCCCACAGGGAAGATCTGAGAATGAGGATTCTCTGAAGTCCATAGGAGCTCTATATGCCCACAAACCTCAGGGGCTAAGGAACCATAGTTAATAACATAAAGAGGATTCTTTTTTTTGATAATTTTTTTCTCTGAAAATGCTAGCTACCAAAGTACGTAGAAAAGAAACTTTTACTTTGAAATGAACATGGATAATCTGAATGCCTGAACAAATATACTTAAGTAAAATTTAACTAAGTGTATTATTTTATAATAAAGTTTATTATTAAAGTTAATGAAATAATAAACTGTGTTTTGAAAATAGGAATGATAATTCTGACTTAGCTCAAAAAAGAAGCTAAATTTAAATATTGTCAGATTTACCTAAAATCTAAAAGTCCTTTTGGTGAAGGCAGATTTCTGTCATTTCACACATAATGGGGAAACTGCTAATAGCAAAATGAAAAATAACCTATATGTATGTGCGGAAATTTAAGGATGCATTTGGAAGCTGTCTACTTTTACATATTTAAATAAATGTATGAAATGAGCCCTCTCAACACATGTGTAACGTTCTCATTCCCAGGAGTACTCGAGGGGCCCTGAGGGGCACCATCTCTCTGACTCTGCTGGCACTCTCTGCTGCAGTACTGCCTTGTGTCATTTCTAGATTTATACTTTTGAAAGTTTAGCTGACTTTAAATCTAATTCCTGGCTCAAAGTGTCGACTTTAAAACATTTAGAATTAAAAGTTACATTGCATTGTTAATATAAATACTTCTACCATCAGTGTTACAATAGTTTCTGTTTTCCATGCAATCTCTTCATAGCATGGTAGCTTAGCGTTATACATGCTCGCTCTCTCTCTCTCTCTCTCTCTCTCGGTTTTAGTGAAAAATCAAAAGGACATATGTAACACACAAAACTGGGCTAATATCAGGTCTCTGAAACTTATTCCCACCCAGCTCACTGGACCATATCTAAAAAGCTTGAAGTGATAGGGCAAAATGTTTTTTACCTGAAGTAATCTCTGCAAAGTGTACGAAAACAATAAAAGCTCCTCAATGGCGAGTTTTAGAGAAAATGCGCTGTCCATGATCGCTGAGTGACATAATGAGGATATTAGGTTAAAGAGCACACTTAATACTGGCACTCGAGCAACAGCTACGACAGTGGTACAAAAGCCAGTCCAGAGCAGGTTATGAGGGTGGCAATGAAATGTGTACAGATACATGTTAGATTTACCTGTAGCTACAATTCTGTGCAGTTATCTCCAGTAGATTTTATCGTGAAGGTAAGAATGTAATGCACAGAAAGGGGTTAGGTTGATCTTAAAGGCACTTCAGTTGTTTGAGTACATAATTAGGGAGTAGGGTGTACAAAAGAATATCAGTAAAGATTACTTTTAGCTCTATTAGTATGTGTGTATACATACAGATGTGCACACATTGCATATATATGCACACACACATATATCTATGACTGACACATTTAATTCTCTCAGGCTCTGTTCAAGTTTATTTTGCTCTCTTATTTTATTTTGCAAGTATTCTTCCTAAGCCAAACCAAACCCCACTGCTGTCGAGTCGATTGTGACTTATAGTGACCCTATAGGACAGAGTAGAATGTCCCACAGGGTTTTCAAGACTGTAAATCTTTACAGAAGCAGACTGCCACATATTTCCCCCATGGAGTGGCTGGTGGGTTTGAACTGCTGACCTTTTGGTTTGCAGTCGAGCATTTTACCCACTGTGCCACTAGGGCTCCTTCAATATTCTTCCATATTCACTCTTAATTTAATAAGTTATTGTCCCTTCTTCTACCTATTCTCAGAAAATTATTCCAAATCTTTCTTATTACTGAAAAAGTCAACACCTGTAGAAACAGTTCTGTCTATAACTAGAATAAAAGAACACTGACATTATTCTAAGCCTTTTGGAAGTGGATTTTGCACTGATTTCTCGTAGGCTACAAATAACAAGTTTTATAGAGTGTTGTTTTGACTTTGCTAGTCCTCAAAAAGAAACAAAATGCCAGTCGTGGTTCTCCCAAGGGGTACAACTGAGCTAGAACGCAGACTAGCACACTGAGGTCATGGCCAAGATCTATGGTTGTTGATTAGTTTTCCTTTGAATGGTGTGAGATCTCTAACTGGGACTAAGGCTCTGGAGGTCAGAAAGCTTCAGTTGAAAAGAATATTTTCTGGAGGCACAGGAGGCCTGAATTTTGCTCTGTAAAAGTATTTCCTTATTATATTTGTTTGGTTCCCTCAGATGCACTGAGCTTCTTGAGGGCAGAGAGCTACCTTGTTTATCTTTGGATTCTCAGAGCTCAGCATAACGCCTTGGCACATTCACGTTTACTGACTGAAGGAACTCCTGCCTAACTATAAACCACTGGAGCACAGAGATTATGTTGTATTTAAAGAAGTCTTTTATATAAAATCTCCCCATAGTGTATATAAGACAATACCCAGTACACAAAAGTACACAACAGGTGGTCAATTAGTGCTTACTGAATAACCAGTGTATCATTAGGCAAGAGAATATTATCAGCAGTAGGCAGAGCGTAGTAGAAAAACCTCATATCCAGGAATAGGAATGGGGAAATAACAACAGATGCGATATAAGGGCAGAATAGAAGGTGGTATTTAACTAATCACTTTGACTCTGAATTTCTAAAGTGCTTTATAAATTACAAGCTACTTTCACATACAGAATTATGTTTACATCTAATGTATATGGTTATGGGTCATTACTGGAAATTTTTAGGAAGATGGCCAAAAGCAATGTGGGATCTGATCCTACCCTTGTGTAACTGAGAATTATCTCTAGATACTGGAACATACATCTCAAATATGGCATCAGTAGTTTTATTGGTGACCACAAAGCCCAATGTGGCTAGTATCAATTGTTAGAATTACCTGAGATAGCCAATACAATCAGGGTCACCTGATTTGCAAAGGCGCTTTCCAGAGAGAAGGCTTTAATGGAGATATATGGGGCATCTTACTTTGAAAACAGGCTTTTGAAGGCTCTCCATTAAATATATCTATCTATTTTTGGAAAACAAAAAGACCTTCCCGATTGTTCCTAAACAGACATCCACAGTGCCTGCAGAACTTGTTAGGCCATGCAGCCAGGCTGTGCAGGGATAATGTCAGAATGCCAAATAACCTTTTTTTTTTAGCTTGAAGTCTTAATTTAAAGTGTTTTGTATCTCAATCTTATTTTCCTTGGCATCGGAAATTGTACATTACTATACATGAATATGATTAGAACTAAAAATTAAGCAATCCTTTAATGAATTTCTGTATTTAACAACAGAGAGAAGATTTGTAAGAGAATCATTCTAGTGGTAGTAAATAATGAGTTCTTATTAGCCATTCTACATATATTTTTGACCGGCACAGAACTATTTTAAATTTATAATCACCTGAACAGTATTTACATATTATTCATCAAAAAAATACTAAGCTTTTAATCAAAGGATTAATTTTCGGTACTAAAACTATTGATGGAGGAAAAACAGATATATGCTATTGGGAAGGCTTACTTTCTTACTTGTTTTAATATTATTTTTCCCTAATTACATTTTTACTCCGTTTTGGGAAATGAGAATAATGTTTGAAGATATCAGCATTGCCTAATGAAGGCTTGAAAGGCTAATGAGATATATAAATGCAATGCCCTCATGACATAATAATTAAAAAAAAATTTACCTCTTCTCATGTTCTCTGGATTTCTTTATATTTTAAAAAGATCACCTAAGCTATATCCCTTTGATTTACAAATATGTGACATAATGTGATTAAATTGGTTACGGCTTGAGTATCAATCATATATAGCATCTCCTGTAAATGAATCTTAGCATGTTTAAGAACATTCTTAAAAGACTTCCTTTTATCCTTTTATACAGATTATATACGTTAGTATTTTTAACTTCCAATTAATTATATCTGGCTTTCTATTTTCACACTCTTATTTGAGAAGAAGATTCATAGAGTTACTCTATAACCTTACTGAGAGTTCAAAGTGGAATGAAATATTCATAAAAATAACACAGAGGACAGGCAGAACTCACCTTGGAAATACTGTCCATATCTCCTGAGCCTGAAATAAAATATAAAAAGAAAGCCTTCATTAGGTAATGATTTCCTTTATAAATTAAGTACTCCTTTAATTTAAATAAATGTAGCACTTTGTATTTTCCTTTGTATATCTCCTAAGATTTTGAATTTGAAAAAGTTCCCTTCCACTTGTATTGTACAGAAAATCAGTATGACAAATGTAAGTGAAAGTTCTATCTCTAGTTCCCAATCACATTTTTTTTTTAAATAATGGCAGAATGAAGAAAACCATCATTATCATAGATTCCTGAAAGGGAAATATTAACTAGAAGGATCATTTATATACATTACTCAATTCAAATTTTTAAAATGCACATGTATTGGCTGTTGTTAGGTGCTGTCAAGTTGATCCTGACTCACAGTGACATCATGTGACAGAGTAGAACTGCCCCATAGGATTTTATAGGTTGTAATCTTTACAAGAACAGACTGCCAGGTCTTTCTCTCACAGAATCTCAGGGTGGGTTTGAACCTCTAGTCTTTCAGTTAGAAGCCGAGCATTTAACCGTTACACCACCAGGGCTCCTTAACATATCAATGAATTACTAAATATATTTTCTGAAAATGATGCTTCTGTAAATCTGTTAAAATATAAAACGGGTATTTCCAACAATATCTGATAATATTTTTAACCTATTTTGCTGTGATAACTAAAAGCAGAGTATTCTTAATGATATTAACAATTTGACAGCAGTCAATAAATATTCATGGTAATGTATCAAAACTAAAAATGTCTGCAAAATAATATTGTGTTTTTTATTTAGATTCTTGGGAGAAATTAATAATCAATACTAATTTCTGATGTAGGAAATGGAATCATACATAGAACAATGATCAGATCTTTACCACAATATTAGCTTTATTTTTAACTATTTTAAACAATCAACTTGTCTGGTATAAAAATATTACATCTCAATAGTACAATATTCAGTCAATAGTTACAAATACAGTTAGAATTTATTAGCATCATTAATTAATAAATAGGCATAATAAATTGTTAAATACTGAATATATATTGCAATCATGTACATATATAAACATGTGCAACTGTAGAAAATAATGAGCTACATGCCAAGCACATGTGAAACTCTTCTACAAATTCTATTCTAGTGAACAATGTAACTCAGAACCTTCTAACTATGACCAAATACCACGCTTTGTGAATAATTTAAAAAATAACAAGATTGGAAAGTGAATTATTTTGTAATAAATTGGAAAAATAAAATTCAACACCAGCACTGTCCAATAAAACTTTCTGTGATGATGAAAATATGTCTCTGTGCTGTCCATCATGGTAGCACTAGCTACATATGACTACTGTGTGCCTAAAATGTGGCTAGTGTAACTGAGGAACTGAATTTTAAATTTTATTTAATTTTAATTAACTTAAAATATAACAGTCACACAAGGCTAGTGGCTACTACAATTGGACAAGACTAGGCAAAAATCTAGGCAAAACAGGTATGGATCCTTAAAAGCACAAAAGCCTGTCAACGCAATGCAAATTATTAATTGATTTATTGAAGTTATGTAGCTTTCCAAAGTATCAGAAGGAGGTAATTGCTGACCTCAGGTAGAAGAATGGAATCTGCGTATAACCTAAGTTATTCATGGGCAGTTTCTCCAATCCTGGTAAATTATGAACACTTTTCAGAAGGAAAAAAAAATTATCACAAACTCCACCTCCATTGTCAACTTTCAGTTTATTATGTTACTTAAATATTTGTATGTATATATATAAAACAAACCAAACCCGTCACCTTCAAGTCCATTCTGACTCATAGAGACACTACGGGACAAAGTAGAACTGCCTTATAGTGTTTCCAAGGCTGCAATCTTTACGGAAGCAAACTGCCACATCTTTCTCCTGTGGAGCAGCTGGTGGGTTCAAACTGCCAACCTTTCGGTTAGTAGTCGAGTGATTAACCACTGCACCACCAGGGCTCCTTTAAATATATACAAACATAGAATAAATGTCTTCTTTAGGGTTTTGCAATCAACCTCCTATACATACAGTGTATCAGTCAATTTCTCACTATGGGAAATGTTTTGTTCCCCTTGCAGATATCTGGCTTCATTTGCTATGAGGCCATCATTTACGAAGTATGTTTTCAACTGTTAAAGTCATACTACTTGACATCAGCTTTATCATGTATACAAAATGGGTAGGCTCTTCTACAGAGGAATCATTCAGCTTGTCCAGAATGTGATTGCCAATTTTATTTAAAAGAGAGATAACGATCAAAATGCAAAAATAAATAAAGACAGTTTTGCCGAGCACTGAAGTTCCTCTGAGACTGTGTCCATAGACTTCCAGAGACAAAGAAACAAGTTGGGAAGACCGCAGTCTTCTAGGCCAGGCATGCATTATACAAAAGCCCAAAGCAGCAATGTTTCCTTTACCATAAAACACTGCCAGTCACAGATTTTGATAGGTTAAATACCTGTGAATATGAGCTACAGCAATTCTTACATTTCCGATTTGAATTGTCTCCATTCATCTTAACCAATTACATAGATTAAACTATCAGTCAGAGGTAAAAGTTGAAGCATTTCAAAATGAACTGCTGTATGTGGAAAAACTCTGCAACCATCCACTATACAGAATTAACTTTTTTGTTTGAATTTATTACTAAACATCAAATTTAATATCCTTACCTAAAGAGCCATTCATGTGATGTGATTCCATTCCTCCTAAGCCACCCATTGGACCATCTGACCCAGGGCCCATTGGAAACTATTTAAAAAAAGAAGAAAATGACTAATCACATTGAAAACAATGGCTTATCTCAATGTTACAACAGTATTTACCTTTAACATTGTTAAGACATTCTCACAATTTATCTTCATTTTCAATTTATGGAAATTTTTCCTAGACTTTTTTCAGCCTTGCAGATTCTCTAAGTGGATTGATCCACCTCTTTCATCTCACCTTCTCTATGTTCCAGCTTTCCAGGCTAATCCTCATTATACTCAAATTTTTCTTCAGATATACTCCACTTGAAAGCCCATACATCCCAGTGCAAATGAAGTGATAAGTATTCTATGATAACTGACAAATTTGGCTTTTATAAACCACAGGTGGTTCTTAAGAAGCAGCTAAAGGTGTTGGCTTATTAATAAGAAAGATTCAACATCATTATGCCAACATTAACATTTTTCTGAGGAGATAAGATATTTTTGTTCAAATGGATCATAATAAATAATTTCATCTTACAGGTTAAATACATTTAACCCCTTAGGGATAGCTGAATATAACTAATTCTTCTTGGCAGTCTCAACTAAGTCAATTCAATGACAATCAGATATTCTACAGCAGTTAAATTAAAATTTTTCTAAAGCGGCGGAATTCTATTTTTATAATGAAATTTTACATTAGATACCCAGTATAAATCAATGTGAACAGATGCACTGTGGTAGAGTTGGAATACTTCTGAAGAAACCCAGAGCCCAGTTTGAAGACAAGTTATCTATTGTTACCACCTTACTTTTACAGTGAAAACAGCCTACTGAAACCACTTGCTTTAAAAAATTTCCATGCCAAAAGCACCTCTTCCATGCCTTATGGTACAGAATGTTAAATGTGGTGTGTGTGTGCATGTGTGTGTAAATACTGTGGTGGTGGTTACTAATCATGCAGGCTTTTTGGGAAAGAAAAAAAAATTGCCCCAAGCAGACAACCATGTATACCACCAACTTTCTGTGGAAATAAGATGGCTTTCCATCTCTGTGAGCATATGAACCACATGCTTATAAATTTTCCCAAGAGAATGACAATTTTGTTGCTAAAAATTGATTATATAAAAGCACAAGTTGATTTTCAGTAAACATTTTGAAATACGTATGCTTCAATGATAACTCAAAAAGATTAACTTTGAACCAACTACTGTTATTCGACTTTTCTCAGAAGCATAGTTTAGGTCTGGGCTGAGAAACTGGTGCCACTGAACCCACTGGCCTGTGAACTTACTTGGTCTGGCCCTTTTTTCTGGCCCCTCAGTGTTTTAAAAGACGCTGAGACTATGCGTATGTATGCTTGGTCAGTTTAGCACATAAACCTGTAAGGCTGGCCCAGAGAGGGCATTTGCTTTTTCTATCCCTGGTTTGGATAAATGACATTTGAAATACTGACATGTTCATCTTCTACTTTTCTTGGATCTCTTATCTTTGTATCAAGTCGGAGAATCAGAATGGAACATACCTGGATCATATCAGTTTAGCTGCCCACAGAAATCAGGTCTTCAAACCACTTCATTCTGGTTTGAACCCCTGCTGAGACTTTGCATTTCCACCCCAGATATACTGAATTAGAATCTACAAGATCCCCAGGTGATTCTTATGTATAATAAAATTTGAGAACCACTGCTCTACTGGTTGATTCTGAGAACTGGTGCCTAACCAGCAGTATTAACACTGCCTGGGAACTTGTTAGAAATGCAAATTCTCAGCAGGGGTTCGAACCAGTTCGAAGCCCTGACAGAGATGTCTTCAATACCATATGCTCTTGGTTTCCTCCTTCCCTCCTTATCTTTCAAATATTACCAAGTTTTAAGATATAAAATTCTAGTATGAAGAACTTTTCTATATCTTTTGTGACACTTCGTATTCAATGTCTTTTAATATTCAAAATGCCTTTAAGACATCGTTATTGTATGACATCAAGTTGATTCCAACTCATAGTGACCCTATATGACACAGTAGACCTGCCCCATAAGGTTTCCTAGGCTGTAAGCTTTCAGGGGGCAGATCGCTAGGTTTTTGCTCCCATGGAGCCGCTGGGTGGGTTCGAACTGCCAACCTTTTGGTTAGAACCTGAGCGCTTAACCATTGCACCACCAGGGCTCCTTTTCTAGACATTAGGGATAAGAAAGTCTCTTTTTCTTGAAAAACAATTGTATAAAAAGAATGGTGATAACTGAAGGTAGTACTGTCCAACAGAAAGAATACGCAAATCACAAATGTGAGCTACGTAAGCAAATTTAGATTTCTAGTAGTCATCGTTTCATAAATAAAAACAGGTGAAGTTAATTTTAAAAATATTTTATTAACTCAGTATGTAAAAATTACCATTTCAACATGTAATCAGTATAAAATTTTAATGAAATATTTCACTTTTTTT